AGTTGATCGCAATCTCTTTTCGTTATATCGGATTGTTTACTCCTCGTAAATATCATTGCAAACAATCCGTTTGGTTTTCTTATTTATTCCCGAGTCGAGGTTCGTGCGTGGAAAACGGTCATACATCGACATTGTGCATTCGTCTCCGTTCTCTTTTTGCAAAATCATAAATCACACTCGTGAAAAAAAAAAAGAGAAAAAATTGTTTCGAACAACTTACCGTTGCGAAAGTGCAACTTTGGAATCGAAATTAGCATTTTAATGTGATTCGAGTGGGAAAAAAAATTTCTTTCATCTCGATCGATCCTTTCGTCGTCCACTTGTAGCGTATAAATGATACGATTTATTTAAGAACATGGACATGATAAAATTTATTATTTATTTTGAATCAATTCTTGAGTAAAAAAAAAAAAAAGTAATTTGTCACGTAAGATATAGAAACTGATAAAGTAAAATTTATTATTCGTTGAAGTTTATTAAAAAATTCAACTGTCCTTAATTTATAACATATCACAAGCTGAAATAATTACCTTTGTAAGAAGTTTTTCGTTGTCTCATTAATTTTTCTAAACAGATATATTTATATTTTGCATTTAATTCATTAATCACGATTAAATTATTCTCGTTTAAATTCGTGTTAATTATGAAACTATAATTCGTATACGAGATATTTTAGATTATTATAGATATGATTACTTTTTCTTTTCTTTTCTTTTTTTTCTTTTTATTTAAAATTAGGAAATTTAAAATAAGAATAGGGATCGGAAAATTTTATTAATCCTATTTTTCTGGATACGTCCGATATTTTAAATCAGTTTACACTTCTTTTTCCTAATTCCGTTTGCATTGACGTGGATAGAATGTATAATTAACTTATAAATCAATAACATCGATCTTCGCTTATAATCATATCGCTGATATTTATGCAAATTCACATTTAATTAGAGAAATTTTTTTAATTAATTGCAGAGACAGACTCTAATTACTTACATTCAGAACAAAATTTATAGGAAAACTTGGAAACAATTCATTGTTCACTGTAGCAATTAAAGAAGCAGTAGTGCTGTAGTAAAAAAAAATTTCTTGAAAAATATTCCGCTTCTTTAATTGTTGCAACAAGCAATAAATTATTTCCACATTTTCTTATAAATTTTATGCGAAATGTAACGTTTGATTAAATTTATTAATTTATTCAATTTAAAGATTTGCTTCATCTTTTTTTTTTCATCAAATTATTGATTTATACAAAATAGCAGAAAGGATATTAATTTCAATATCGAAAATTATCAATCGTGGTATCATCGAACGCACTAATTATTCACGATACTCGACTACTTTTCGATTTAATCGAACCCCAAAGTCAGCCAAACACAACAATTAACCACTCTCCACCAATCCCCCCCCTATATAAATAAGCACCTACCTCCTCCCTCCATTTTCTTCTCCAAAGTCTTCTTTCAAATTGGGTTTAATCGTCCCATTCCGTCATCTTATTCCAACTCGAATCGAATCGTAACCGATCGTCGCCACCTCCTCCACTTGTAGTATCAATTAGTATCGATGATTACTATCTCTGCATTATTCATCCCTTCTGACCCGCTAATCAAATCCCACAGATCTCATGTAATATCCTTAACAAGCGACCAAAACTCTATTGACTCACAAATTTCTCCTCCCCTCTCCTCCCCTCACTGTATATAACGTTGCATTCGTGGAAACATCCGTGCTACAAACGTCTTGCCCTGTGGATTAAGATGATTTTATGTAACAAATTCAAATTTACGTGAATATATATATTAAAATTCGTATTTTCTCTGCGTTTCCTGCGAATAAATGTATTTAATTCGTTCGAATTTATGAAAAGACTTATCACAATACACGTAACAATTTTACAATATTCGCAACATTTAAAAATTCTTTATATACTTTATATACTTTATATACAACGATCACGCCTATTAAATATTCTTAAGTTCGATCGAGAAAATCAATCATTACTTTTTTCAATTAAAATACAATTATCGATCACAATATTATTGGATAAACGCAAAAAGCAAGGCAAAATCCTAACAACCACTTCTTCCAAATCCATTCACCTTTCAATCGTATCGCGATATCTTATCTCGAATGCATTGCAAAACTGTAGATACGGTACCGGAAACGTTCGAATTTCATACGGTGGCCGAAACGGTGTGTAATAAGTGGAGCACAGAGAGAGAGAGAGAGAGAGAGAGAGAGAGAGATGTCGGGTGGCGGCGAGGTGGTGCGTAAGCGTACACGTGACCGAGGAACGTGCCTCCTGGTGCACGTGGAGCCGAGCCACATCCCCCTGGCGTCGGCCACCGCT